AGAGAAGTCCCTTAAACTGCCCAAGCTTCAGTCCTTCATCTGTAAATTATGCATATGAAAGCTGTTTAGGATAACCCAGAGTGCCACTGAAAACCACAAGGAAGATGCAAATGGACACATTTTTGAAGACTTAAAAGTGCTATGTGAACATAAGATAAACTGTTATTATTACCATGACGTCAGAAGTTATTTTAATCCTGTTGAGGAAACTTTCTGATCGGAAACCAAAATTGCTCTTTAGACAGAAATAGCATTAGTGCTGGTAGGTCACCTAGACCTTTGCCCTCGTGGCTTCCCCATGTCCCTTCTAGAGGCACAGGAGGCCCCTCAGACTTGGAGGGCACAGCCTGACAGGAGCAGGAGCTGTGGCCCAGACTCAGGGAACCTCTGTGAGTCAGTTGGCAAAGGCTTCTGGGGAGCCTCTCTCTCTTTGAACCTGGTCCTAGCCCATTCACTTGTTAAAAACAGGAGACTTCTCCCAAGGGCAAGGAATTCAGATCTGGGTTTTGGTTTCCAACTTTTTGTAATCCTCCACCTGGTGTTTACAGTACATGTCTCAATTATGTTTCATTCATCTCTCCACAAAGGTAAGGACAAGCATTGGTTCATCTCTTTAGACCTATACATTCCTAGCACAGAGTGACTACTCACAGAAAAAACATATGGAATACATAAGGACACTTTAACTATTTGTTGACCTCATTTCTAAGTTTGCAGTGTTGAGCCATCTTCTGATTTCTAACCTTCTTTAAATCCCTCTAATTTTAGGTTATAGTACAGTAGAAATTTAATTGTAGCTGATAATTATTGAGCACTTACTATGTGGTCAGCACTGCATAAAATGCTTTAATATAATTCTTCCATCAAATCTGTAGAGTTAGGTACTAATGCTATCCTAACATTAAATGGAGAAAATAAAGTTTAGTGAAATTAATTAATTTATCCAAGGTCACTAAATTATTCAGTGGTAGAAACATGATTCCAGACCAGGCAGTCTGGCTATAAATAAACTCTGAGCCACTCCCTTGTAGAAGACCTCCTGATGTTCATCTCTTAAATGGCTGGCAACAGGCATGTTCATAGTATTCACTGTGTTCAAATTTCTACTCACATCATATAGGCCCAGGGATGTGTTACCCTTTATTCTTTTTTTTTTTTTTTTTTTCAGACAGAGTCTTACTCTGTCACCCAGTCTGGAGTGAACTGGCCCAATCTTGGCTCACTGCAACTTCTGTCTCCCAGGTTCAAGCGATTCACCTGCCTCAGCCTCCTGAGTAGTTGAAACTACAGGCATGCACAACCACGCCTGGCTAATTTGTGTATTTTTAGTAGAGAGAGGGTTTCACCATGTTGCCCAGGCTGGTCTTGAACTCCTGACCTCAGGGATCCACCCACGTGGGCCTCCCAAAGTGCTGGGATTACAGGTGTGAGCCACTGCGCCCAGCCTATTCTTTTAAGTTTGGATATCTCATGCATTTGATTAGTCCAATTCGTCTTTTTAGCATAGTCTTATGCAGTGGATATTAATAATCAAGAACGTGCCATTGTTCTAGGATCACAGAGAGAAAAAGAAACAATTTTGGGTAGAAATTTAGCAATTACTATTAAAGATGCTGGAACGCTTATTTATGTTTTATCATAGGGGTCCATAGTCATTGCCTTCTCACAGGAGTATGACAAATGACAGAACCTGTGATTCCAGAAGGCCAGGACAATACTGGTGCTACAAAGGAAGTCATGTTAGGGTGTTGCTCTTGAAAACTCTGACGAGAGGGTGGAGACAATTGTAGGCAATAACTACTGGAAATGATAGGGATGGGAATTTGTATGTTGCAGTCAGTTTCTTTGCCGCCTGAAATTGGCAGCTGCAGCATCTTTGGCATGTGGACCAGGGACTGCCAACCGCCGACCTGTAGGACTGGCGTTTACTGTTTGCTGTGTGTGTAGAGTATCATTGTTAAATATAGGTTCTTGAGAACAGGCAAAGAGGAAAGACATTTGGAATGCTGTCTCATTAGACTTCACAGCTCTGATGTTTTCGCAACCAGCAGAGAAATATCTTACATCCCTTGCTTTCTTCATAAATTTTAAATAGCATTGGCTCATTTTTATCTGTGTTTTTCAAACCTGTGTTTCTCTGTTTTTAATTTTTGAAATCATGTTGTGCCAAAAGAAGAGGTGAACCACTGAACATAGTATGCTTTAGTCAACAGAACACTGGCTCAGCATGACAATACCTGGGCTTTCATGCCAGTTCACCCACTTACTCACTGTGTGACCTTAGAAAAGTTGCTTAACTACTCTGGGCTTCAATTTCCACACCTATAAAATAAAGAATTGAACTGGACAAATTTAGGTCCCCTCTTATTTTCTAATTCCCTGTTATTAGTTTATTCACATTTCATATTGATTTGGATTTTCATTTTTATTAAAGGAGTATAAAATAAATTCCAAACAGAGAAAATGAAATAGACTTCTGCAGCTAACAATCTCTCAGACCTTAAATATAGTAGAAACCCAAAAATACATACTAGCCAGGAAGAATGGTTCATGACTATAATCCCAGCACTTTGGGAGGCTGAAGCAGAAGGATCACTTGAGGCCAGGAGTTTGAGATCAGCCTGGCCAATATGGTGAACCCTGTCTCTATTAAAAATACAAAAACTAGCCAGGCATGGTAGCACACGCCTGTAATTCCAGCTACTCAGGAGGCTGAGGCACAAGAATCGCATGATCCTGAAAGGCAGAGGTTGCACTGAGCCGAGATCATACCACTGCATTTCAGCCTGGGCGACAGAGGGAGACTGTCTCAAATAAAGAAAAAAAAAAATAGTATGTACTGAATTGATTAATTACTCGACTATTTTAGTGTTCTGGGAAATAGAAATTTCATAAGACTGGCTAAAAGTTAACATGAAATGCCCACTCTAAGGAAAGGATATTACTAGGAATAACTTTTACTGGAAAAGGTTCCAGGATCTAGACTTAAAACTTAAATGTCTAGTTTTGTAGCCATATTACCCACATTGTAGATAAACTTTTTTTTTTTTTTTTTTTTTTTCCTGAGACAGAGTCTCACTCTGTCACCCAGGCTGGAGTGCAGTGGTGTGATCTTCGCTTACTGCAACCTCCGCCTCGAGGGTTCAAGGGATTCTCCTGCCTCAGCCTCCTGAGTAGCTGGGATTACAGATCTGTGCCACCACGCCTGGTTAATTTTTGTATATTTAGTAGAGACGGGGATTCACTACGTTGGCCAGGCTGGTCTCAAACTCCTGACCTTGTGATCCGCCTGCCTCGGCCTCCCAAAGTGCTGGGATTACAGGCATGAGCCACAGCACCTGTCCTGTAAGAGCTAGTATTTGTTGAGAGCTTATTAAATGTCAAGTATTATGCTAAGGTACATGCATCATTATCCTGTCTAAACTTCATAACACTTCTACGAATTAGTACTTTTATTATTTTTTTTAACAAAAAGAAAAAAAGAGATAGAGGTACAGAGATAGTAAGAAAGTTTTCTATGGTCACACAGCAAGTATCTGACATAACCTGGAATCTAATCCAGGTCAGCCTGACTCCAAAGACCATGCCCATAACCACTGATCATACGGCCTCCCTCTAGCCTGGACTTACAGAATCTTTTTCTGTGAACAGCTAGGTAAGGTTCAAGAAAATCAGCCTTGAGATCTCTTGTACAACTTGGTAATGACAGTTAATATATTGCATTTGTGAAAAATGTTAAGAAAGTAGACTTGAAGTGTTCTCACCACATAAATGACAAGTATGTTAGATAATTCATATGGTAATTTGCCCAATTTAGCCATGCCACAATGTACATACATTTCAAAACATCATTTCATACATGGTACATCTACTGTGTACAATTTTGTCAATTAAAAAAATAAAACTTTTATTTTATTTGAGATGGAGTTTTGCTCTCGTTGCCCAGGCTGGAGTGCAATGGCACGATCTTGGCTCACTGCAACCTCTGCCTCTCGCATTCAAGCGATGCTCCTGCCTCAGTCTCCTGAGTACCTGGAATTACAGGTGCCTGCCACCATGCCCGGCTAATTGTTCATATTTTTAATAGAGATGGGGTTTCACTATGTTGGCCAGGCTGGTGTCAAATGCGTGACCTCAGGTGATCCACCTGCCTTGACCTCCCCAAGTGCTGGGATTATAGGCATGAGCCACTGCACGTGGCAAAAAAACAAACAAACAAAAATACACACTTTAAAAGGCCACCATCTTTACCACATACACACAAAATAAAAGCAGCTTTAAGAAAATGATAAAAATATAGCTAATGTGGTCCCTCATATATATAACAAAACAATAATATGCAAATCAGTTTTGTATTGGAAAAAATAATAGATAAAAGTAGAGACAAATGAACTATTAACAGTAGACAATAATAAATATAATCAAAGATGTATAGCTTCTCTAGTAAGTAATATATTTTAAAGCACAAGATACCACTGTTTGCCCATTAAATGGACAAAAATGAAAAGCTGGATACTTTCTAGCATCGTTAAACATGTAGGCAAGTGGATATTTCCCCACAGTCTTAATAGATTTGGGGGAAATTTGGTCCTATCTCTTCAAAAACTAAATTTTTTGTTTTGTTTTGATTTTTCAGAGACAGGGTTTCACTCTATTGCCCAGACTGGAGTACAGTGATGCAATCATAGCTCACTGCAGCCTCAGAATCCTGAGCTCAAGATATCCTCCGACTTCAGCCTCCTGAGTAGCTAGGACTACAGGTGCAAGCCACCATGCCTAGCTAATTTTGTTGTTGTTGTTTGGTAGAGATAGGGTCTCACTGTGTTGCTCAGGCTGGTGTTGAATTCCTGGTGGTAGAGATAGGGTCTCACTGTGTTGCTCAGGCTGGTATTGAATTCCTGGGCTCAAGCTGTCTCTCTCCTCAGTTTCCCAAAGTGCTGGGATTACAGGCATGAGCCACTGTGTCCTGCCTCAAAAAATAAAATTTGCACACCTTTTGATGCAGCAATTCCAATTCTAAGAACATATCCTACAGAAATATTTCCATATGCATAAATATATACATGTAAATATGTTTTAAGCAGAAGCAATATTTGTAATATTGATAAATAACCTAATATCAATAATGAGGTTATTAAATAAAACATTGCAAATATATACCATGAAGTGTTTTGCAACTCTTAATATAAATACGTTTTATTAATATATTAGCATCTAATAGTTTGATATTAATATACAATTTACATATAAACTAATATTAACCATAAGCAAAATTTTCATTAAATGTTAAGTGAGAAAACAAAGTTATATTGATACTGTGCTTTCTCATTCACTTGAAAACCTACCTAGATATGTGTGTGTGTGAGAATATACATAGAGACAAATACTAGAGTATGAAAAAACGTTTAAAATAATACACATTAAAGAGTTAAAGAAGAGACCTCTCAAAATGTAGATTGAACCATGGGAAAGAATACTACATTATTTGAAAATTTTACAGTAAACCAATGTTCATTCCTTGTTCAGAGGAGATTTTCCTGACCAGCAGACATCATGCCATCAATTGGTGATTCAGGGACCCAGTGTCCTTATACCTCATGGATGATTTCCACATGGTTCCCTGATTGTCATGTGTGCTGAAAGGAGAGAAAGCATGAAAGTTTCAGTGGCCTGGCCCAAAATTGGACTCTTCATTTCTGCTCACATCCCATTGGCTAAAACTTGGTCACATTGCCATAAAAATGCAAGTGATTCTGATAAATGTGGTCCATGTACTCGGCATAAGAGGAACACTTTTGATAAACATCTAGCAGCCTGTCCCACAGGGAAACAGAGGTTCTGAGTTTCCAGCTCTCTGCCTCTTCCGGCCAATAGGAAAACTCAAAAGAAGAGGAGGAACCAAGAGACTTCCGCCTCCTCCACAGATCTCCATCATCAGCACCTCCATAGATACAGACAATAGATTTTTTTTTCAATTTTATCTGAAATACAATCCAAATAGAGCTTCAAGACAAATCTCCTATCCCCCATTTCAGTACCAAAATTCTGAAACTGCTACTGCCCCTGATCACCTTCTGAGGGACCCAGACAAAGTCAGCCCTGAACCATCACGCCTCAAGATGTTGGGAAATCCTATCAGCCTGAATTCAGGTGTGCCATGATTAGCCTTATCCTTGTTTTGCTTCCCTGTCTATAAAATGGCGATAAGACACCACCCTATCTATTTCAAGGAAATGCGAGCTTCGCAAAGGGTAATATACATAGAACTTTGTAAGCTAAAAAGAACTACTAAAAGTTATTCTTAATCATAAGCATTAAGATCCATCTATTCTCTTCTCTCGCCTTTGTTTTTTCCTTCCTTACTTTCTCTGTGTATTATTTACCTGATTCCTTATAAAAGAAATGAAGGATATATACCTACTATGTACCCACAAATATTGAATTTAAAAAAATGAATGTGGTCCCTTAAACTAAAACCCACTACAATTTAGTCCCAAGGAAGAGAGTTCTAGGGAAGAGCCAAAGAATGACATAAGAACAAAAGGTAATACTGGGCAACAGGATTGGATTTGAGGTAACCAAATCGGACAGGTATATTATGCTTTCTTCCCAAAAAGCGGGTTCCCAAAAGTGGGGATCTTTATCTCTTTAAGGGGATAAAGAGAATAAAAAGGCTGAATTTCCAGCTATCCAAAATGGGGTTCCCATGGTGTCTGCATGGAACTGGAAGGAAAGAAAGGAAGTGATGATGACTAAAGCGGATGAAAGGCCAGTCATGGTGGCTCATGCCTGTAATCCCAGCACTTTCGGAGGCCAAGGCGGGTGGATCATTTGAGGGCAGGAGTTCCAGACCAGCCTTGCTAACGTGGTGACACTCCATCTCTACTAAAAATACAAAAGTTAGTTGGGCGTGGTAGTGCATTCCTTTAATAGCAGCTACTTGGGAGGCTGAGGCAGAGAAATCACTTGAACCTGAGAGACGGAGGTTGCTGTGAGCCGAGATTACACCACTGGACTCCAGCCTGGGTGACAGAGGGAGACTCTGTCTCAAAAAAAAAAAAAAAAAAAAAAATATATATATATATATATATTAAAAAAAATTAAGTGGATGAAGGGTTAAAATACTAAGTAATAGACTTTTCCGGCTTGCAGAAGACATCCAGTACTCCATGGCTGGGTGGCTCAACACTTCCCCATCAGATATGGCAAAACAAAATGTTAGCATGTTGGCGGTAAAAGTCAGTTAGCAGGCTGTAGCAATGCCACTGACAGAACAACATGATCTCAGAAGGTATTTGTCCTTTTTGAAGCCAACAATTATCCAATAGGATTTTAGAGGCACCCAAAGCCTTACAATTATCTCTCCCTCCTGCCTTCAGATATTCAGAATGTCTTTAGCAAGACAGTCTTTGGTTTCACAATCACAGATAAACTTCCCATGCAGATGTATGTGTTCATATAGCTAGGTTGTGACTAGCAGGTAATAAGGGTCCTGTTTTATAAGACTTAGAGTCCTAGATACCTGAAGAGGGTGTGGAAAAAGGGAGGCTAGGGCTCCCCCAACAATTTCATGTATTTTAAGCCTTATCTCTTCTGAAACCTACAATCAAACCAGGCTTTTAGCTGCCACTTAAGTCTCTGAAACCTTCCAGGAGCTTTTTTTAATGCAAAAAACAAACAAAACAAATGCCCACTAAGTTCCACCAATACAGGACTGATTAAGTAAAGACCAGTGTCTTCATACAATGAAATGCCACGAAAATATCAACAAACAGTAAACAGTATGGATGGTTTCTGGATCTTATATAGAAAAATCTCCAAGATCCATTCAGAAAGGCAAGAAAAAAAAAGTGGGTGGATAAGCTCTACCTGGATGTGCTTATAAATGCGTAAAGTCATTCTAGAGGAATACAGAAGAAACTAAGAAGAGAGAGGTTGAAAACAGGGAAGACGGTGACAAGCAGAGGCATATCTAGGCCTGAAGTTATACAATTTGGGGCAGCTTCTTTAAGAAAAAGAATTTATGAGTACAAAACTAGTTCAGAACTTTGGAAGGGGCTCTTGGAAGGGGGTCTAAGCTTAAGCTTTTCTAGCTTCATGGCAAGTCCACTACTGGGGATAAGTAGGGAAGGGAGAACAAAAAAAAATTGTGAACGCCGATTGAAATTTGATATCCATTCATAAAACTTCATTTTTTTTTAAATTAATATATTTGCCAAAATAGCTCTGGAGAAAGAAAACTGACTAGGTGACCAGGTATCAGGAAAAATTGGGGTTCCTATAACCAAATTCATAAAAAGGACACTGCAAAAATGACAGCCATAACCACTGAAATATAATCTTTCACCTATCACATTAGCAAAGTCAAAAAGTTTTCAACGTTGGATGTGGTGGCTCATGCCTGTAATTTTAGCACTTTGGGAGGCTGAAGTGGGAGGATCACTTGAGCCCAGGAGATCAAGATTACCTGGGCAACATAGGGAGACTCTGTTTACAAAAAGTAAAAAATAACCATGCATGGTGGTGCTTGCCTTTGGGAGGCTGAGTAGGGAGGATTACTTGAGCCTGGGAAGTCGAGGCTGCAGTGAGCTGTAATTACACCACTGCACTCCAGCCTGGGTAAGAGAGTGAGACCTTGTTTCAAAAAAAAAAAAAAAAAAAGGTTTTAAAAAACATATAGTTAGTGAGGGCATGGAGTGTCATACATTGCTGTATTTGGTATAAATGACCTCCATGGAGAACAGTTTACCAAAGTCTCCCACAATTACAAATGCACCATTTGACACAGCAATTCTACTTCCAGGAATATATCCCACAGGTACAATGGCATGTGTGCTAAGCAACAGATGTAAAGGTTATTCACTGCAGCATTGTTTGTACTGCCAAAGTACTGGAAAAAACCTCAATAGGAGACTACACCCATTCATAAAATCTTGTACAGCTGAAAAATAAATAAGGAAGCTCTTTGTGTACTAGTATAGAACAATCTTCAACCTATATACTTAAGTGAAATATGCAAGTTTTGAAATATTTTGTGGACTATCATTGAAGTAACATATTTCCTATAAGTCCAAAATATTTTCAGAAGCATTTCACCAACAACTTATAATATTGGTGCCTTGAGGGAAGATAGTTGGATAGCCGGGAAATGTGTGGAGGGAGAGATTTAACTTCAGTACTTTTAGCTTTTGAAGCATGTCAATGTGTAACTTTTTCAAAATATTTTTGAAGAAAAACACAGATTTTTAATATTTGCAAAATTCACACCAGCCTCATATTCTAATCAAGGCTGAAGCTGTTCAGAGAGGAGCCTAGTGAATCCCCAAAACTTCACATCAATTCCATGTTTGATGCAGATCAAACTAGGGATAAGAAATTGAGAACCTTGGACATTTTTTTTCCTCCACTGGAGGGTATACTACTGCCATTTAAATGACTCACTATTAAATGATTCAATGACTGCATGATTCTAAAGAAAACCTTTTTCCAGGGACTTTTTTTTTTTTTTTTTTGAGACGGGGTCTTGCTCCATCACCCAGGCTAGAGTGTAGTGGTGTGATTGCAGTTCATTGCAACCTGGAACTCCTGGATTCAAGTGATCCTCCTGTCTCAGCCTCTTTTCCAGTTCTTCTGTGAGCTCCCAATCAAATGCTTTAGGTTCTTAATAATGAAGGGACCTCCTTTTCCCAAGCCCTGTGTCAATGGACTCTATTGCTTAAGAAGAGAGATGTCTGATTCACCAGTGGAGACAGAAAAGAACATTAGCACCCAGTGATTGTTCCTTTATTTTGTTAGGGGCTTACAGTGACTGTGTTAACTTCAAAGAAGCCAGGATGCCTTGGGACATGGTTAAAATCCAAACCTGAGGACACACATCCTAAAAGAAATGAGTCTGAGCTGGGGAGAATATAGGATCCTAAGTATGGTAATTATTCTAAAAAAAAGAAAGCTGCCTATGCCGGCCTGGGCAACATAGAGAGATCCCATCTGTAAAAAAAATCAGCCAGGTATAGTGGCACACTATGCCACTCGGGAGGCTGACTCAGGAGAACTGCTTGAGTCTGGGAGTTCAAGGCTGCAGTGAGCTATGATCACACCACCGCACTCCAGTCTGGGTGAGAGAATGAGACCCTATCCCAAAAGCAAAACAGAAAGATAGCTGCCACTGGTGGATAATGCTAACTCCACTCTCATAGAATTAGAACATATAAGAAGTCTTTTGCTACTAATAGATTGTGCATTCCAAGAGTGATTTAGAGCTAAGAAGGCATATCAAGATTGACTTTTTTTTTAAAGATGACTGAAATCTTCAGAGCAAGCTTGTGATCCAATGCATTCATGTCCACAAGATGGTGCTATAGCTTCTGCCAAGTACAAAACTCGCATTTCCTTTAGGAACTAGAAATAGAAAATATGTTTCTGATTGAGGACCAAATCTGCATGTGCTCTGGTGAGTTTGTCAAAGAAACAAATTGTGCAAAAACGTCCCGGTGGAGGTGGAGGTTGATTTGGGCCTAAAGGGTGAAGGCTGTTCCAGGTAATAACACCTTCTACCACCTCCACACATACCTGAGTTGATACCTTCCCCTTTTCCAAAATGCTGCTTTTCCTACTGTCAGGTGTGTGTGTGTGTGGC